ACCACAATCCCTTCTCCTCCGTTCTCCTCTTGGAATCTTCGGCACACACGCACATGTGCCCAGCATGAGTTTAAACCACCAGGTCCGGGACTCAAACCATGGTTGACTACATGGGAATCCAGCGACATAGCCATTACGCCAACTGCTGGTCCCTCAAAGGATACTTTTATAATTTTTCAAAGTTTATTTCTTCCATGACATAGAAAGAGAGACAGCACCCCCAACAGGGTCTGGATGCTATGATCTACCCTCGGCCAGCCCTGGATGGACACACGTGTGCTCAGTATACTCAGGGAGGACTCCAGATTAGAACCCAGAACCTGCCCGTGCAGGTCAACTTCAAAGAGCATTGCATTTTACTACTGTACCACCATACAGTCCCGTAAAGCTTTTAGTTTCTGATATCTCCATGGATGTCTCATGTCTCAGGTACATGAGAGAAAGTAGGGCTAGGATCCTCTTTGATCCCATTACCACTCTAGAATATGAACACCCCATTCTTCCTTTCTAAAGTTTTTAAAAGTTTATCTTTATTCATGTTAGAGACCATGTATGTACATATAAGAAACAGAAATTGAGAAAGATAAAAGCATCCACAACAGGGTCTTGTGCAACCTTCCAGTTCATCAGGATCTTGGGCATGCTCACACACACCCATTGTACTTTCAATCCACCCCAGAGATCCAACCTACATATTTTTCTACGCAGCAATGTGTCATGACTTTTCCAATGACCCAGTAGTCAGCCAAGTGGCTTCCAGCACTATAATTCAGTTTGCCACCAACTATACCTCCAGGCTACAGACTACACCCCATTCTTTTCATCCCTGCTCTTTCGAGACTCACAACTCAGCTATACTTTCTTCTACTCTCCACCTTGTCCTCCAGACAGTACCTCTCTTTAACTGAAGATTTAAATACCTGACTCTCAGGATCCAACCAAAGTGACAAACCCTGAATTCCCTGTTGAACTCCCCCACTACACCTCAGCTGCCTTTTTCACTCTTCCTATGTCCTCAATCACCAACTCCAGAAGCTCACTCTGACCATAATCTCTTCCCCTTCCAGATCATTTTGTTCAACTATTTCTCTCACCAGTTCTCAGAGCTAATCAGGAACCCTCCTCTCCCAGTCCTCTCACTCATCTAGTTTCTCCTCATCTAGGAGCCTCTCTCTTCATGTCTCCTTGTTTCCAGGTGAGATCCAACATATACTATTGGGTCATCAGAAAAGTCATGATGTATTTTTCTGTTTTTCTATGCAAAAATGTGTCATGACTTTTCTGACAAACCAATAGTAATAGCACTCATATCAATACTCGGTTCCACAGCAATACTTTGCCATATATAGAAAAGCCCAAGAAAATCTTCAGCTCTGTTATAAATGCAATAAATCAGTTTTTCCATATATGTATTGCAACAGCTAAATGCTGATAGAGAGAAAGTCAAAGAATGAGGAAAACAGGATCTACTATAATGTCCATACTCAGTAACTGCTGTCTCATATGTTCCCACTCCCCAAGGGGGTCAGTTTTTCAGAGAAATTAAGTCAACACATGAAACATTTACAATGTCACCTACTAAACTCCATCACCATCCACGCTTCTCTAGATTCCCTGTTACAACAGAGGAAATGTACTTCCTCCTAAAAGCAACCTTTCTACCTATGCTTTCAATCCTTGCACCTTCCCAGAAGATTTGCATTAGCTTCTCATACCCCTTTTCTGATCTTTGCTAAGACTATGTCTTAGTGAGTCCTTATCTCAAGGGATTTTCTCAATTCCACTTTTACTTTGGTTACTTAGAATCAGCCTGCTTCTTCAGCCCTGCAAAATTCTCAATTCTCTTCCTCTGGTTTAAGTAACCGCTCCTTCAATCTTATGGATTCTGGAAACTGCTGCTCTAACTACTACATGTCAAAGATTTTCTTGGATCTTTCTAGATCCAGTAGAAATCCAGCAGATGAAGAACAGAGTTTAGGGCACTGATATGCTTCTACTAGTAATATGATAGATTGCTTAATCTCAACTGGATACAAACATGAAGAGAGGCTGATGGAGAATAGTGAGAGGCCTCAAGAGGACTTGAACTTGGTGGGAGCAATAGTTGAATAAAACAACACGTATGGATTTATGTATGCATTTATCTGAATAAACAAATAGAAAATAGATACATTCCTTACTAGGCTGGCCCCTGAACTTAAAAAGAAACAAACATTCTTACTCAAAAAAGGATTATACACAAAATGATGTAGCTCTGATAGTTTATTTCAACAAACACAAAAATAACAAGTCCTATCTTTTAAGAAAAGAAAAACAAATTCTGTACATACATGATTGGCTTGATTAACCAAAATGTATTTTAGGAAAATATTATTCAGGTACAATATAAAGCTTCTTGTGTGCAGAGTTGGTGTTATCAGATGGCGGAACTGGGGAGCATTATGATGTGATCCTTAGTTCCTGGGCCAAGATCTCTAAGATTAGAAACCTATCTCAAGACACAAATAAAGATATAGCCACAAGAAAAGTAGAGGAAAGAAAAGAAGTTCAATAGTACTTTCATAGAGGTTCCACTGGGCAGGCTGGCAGGTAACAATGACATAGGGAATGAGGTTAGGTGTTACTTTTATTGCAGGGTCTTGTCATGAATATTTAGGAGGGGAGGTCTGTGACTGTGGCTGACTCTGTTATTATTTGCAGGCTTTTGTTGTGCTTGTGTATTTCTTGCTTGGTAAAGAGAATCCAATGACTGGTTGAAAGAAGTCTACTCATGCCCATTGTGGACTTTGAAGGTATGAGCATGCACCTAGGGACACTTTTGTCCATACCAGTCTAGCGCCGCCAGTGCAAAATTAAGTATCAGTCCAGTACTCAGGACAGTTCCTGAGTGTGCAAGCATTGCTATGGAAGGGGAAGAAAGTTACATCCACCATGCCCTCTTATGACAGCTTATGCAGTGAATGTTAGATAACCTTCTGCTCAGTGCCTGGAGTCTGGCTGCAGCCCCTGACAATGAGTGATGTGACCAGTGCCCTTTCTGTTGGTGTCTTAAGACTACCTGTTCATATCTATCTGACTAATCTATTACATAGGTAGCAAATAACTTTGCTAAATGACCAGACATTTAGAAAAATCAAAACGTAGTTTTAAAACAGAGTTAAATACATAAGTTAAGAATGTCAACTTACTTATCTGTACAAAAAAAAAAATCATTACCCAGCTTTCCATTGTAACATATATTTTCTTTAACAGAAGGAAGCCCCAAATTTCAAGGATTAAATCCTTTCTGCTAAGGCCTCAGAAATATCAGATTCTCCTTTAAACCTGCATCTATTAAACATGAGGCTTTGGGGCCAGACTAGGAACATTTTAAATAAATGTAATCTACCATAAAATTATGAGTTTTTATATTCCTAATTAACTTTATTGCAGCAATGATTTAAATATGTACACTGTAAAAAAGAGAAAACAGTTATAAACATATTCTTGTCTTTTTTTCTTTATCCACAAGATAATACTTAAAAGAAATTAAGAACCAAAGTACTGAACATAATACATAAATGTGCAGCCTGGCTTGAAGGTTTGGGAAAGGATAAAGAATATCAAATATAATAAACCAGTGTATTAAAAGTCTAGTATTTAGTAGTAAGACTTCTATCTGAATTGAGTTATTGTTATTATAAATAAGTTTCACAGTAAGGCACCTGTCATCACCTATGAGAAAAAGTTGGGTTCAAAACAAAAGGAATATGCATTGTAAAACATTTTTTCTTTCATTCTGGTGTTATTACAGATATCATCAGTTTTAAATCTTAAATTTTGCTGAGCAGTAGATAAAAATCTTTGAACATATTACCAAAATACAGTGCAAATATTTCTCTATATTTTTGTATTTTCATTAATTTACATTATACCTTAATTAATGTATTATATAAAAAAGTTATTTAGTACCTATGTAATAGGTACCTTAATTAATGTATATAGTACATTAATTAATGAGAAAACAGGTAAAAAAAAAACAAATTAAGGTAGATGGCAAAGGACTAAATATAAGAGACATGACAACCTCTAAAGAAGAATTATACTATAGAGGCAGTGACTATGAAAAGATTTTGGCCAAGTTTTTTAACATCTCTGAACCTCACTGTCTCTGCTTGTAATATTTCAAGTAATAGCTGCTCTGTCAAGCTCGTAAGTTTGTTGTGATATCAGATATGTAAAAATACTCAGTAAACTATAAAGCACTGTCGAATTAAATGGTGCTATCATAGGCCAAAATATTTCATTTCTGATATACTTTTTAATAAATAAATTTATATCCTACTCCTTTTGTGTGTATTTGAGGACTCTCAGTTTTGATCAATTAGATACTTATGGAATGAATGGAGCAAAAAATTGTGCAAAGAGAAAAAAATCTCAAAATTTTAGCTTCCAGAATTTTATAAAGTACATTTTGTTGCGAGTGGGGAACTAATGCTTGATGGCACTTGGGCTAACTCTTGATACTTCCTAAAAATAAAAAGGTGGCAGCCTTCTTAGAACCCTTGGCTCCTGGTCTCTCCTCAGTCTTCTCTAGAGACCACCATCTCCCTTACCATCTACTACCATGGAGCATACACAGTTCCATTAAAACAACCAGCTCTTATAACAGCATTAAAAATTTTAAGAGTGTAAGTAAACACAGCTAATTACAGGTTCATTACTCAGCTTGGGACAAACTTTTTAAAAGAATTATTTTTTTAAATTTATTCATTCATTTATTTTGATTTGACCAGACACACACACACAGAGAGAGAGAGAGAGAGAGAGAGAGAGAGAAAGTAAGAAAGCAAGCCCCCAGTTCCAGGACTCAAACCGTGGTCGGCCATGTGGGAGTGTCCAGTGCCTTAACCACCACATCATCTGCTGACTCCAGCTTGGGACAAATTTAAAAGGGTTTAATAATCCCTACCATGTTCTCACTTTTTTTCTTCCTTTCCTCTATGTACAAATTATTCGAGGTCAGCTTTTTCCCATCTATGTTGTGAGGAACACTAGGTGACTGAGATGTTAACAGATGAACAACAGATTTGTGTTAAATAAGCTGAGAATATGCAAGATGAGATGAGTTTACGTGCTGCAGAACATCTCAGTCTTTGATGGACTACCTGTACATTCTAAAGATGGAGTATCCTGTATTTTGCAGACCCATCTGACAATTGAATCTCTTAACAGAATATCCACAGGGACTAGTAGGTCTCAGAATATTTTTTAGAAACTGCTGTTCCAGTCAACTCATTCTAGCTGTAAATATTCCAGGGTCGAATATAGGAATACTTACTTTTTTAATTTCTGAAAAAGAATCATTTCAGTTACAAGATCAACTGCCATGATAACTTTCTGTATTCCACTCCATAATTATCCTTCCTAAAACTACTAAGAACTAAATTTCTTTATTACATACCGAGGAATTTGAAGTTATTCTCACATTAATGAGAATTATGATCTTTTAAAGAAAATACTTACATTCCTCCTCCAAGTGTTAAAAATACAAATGTCTATTTCTAGATCTTAGGACCTAGAATCATAATTACATTGAGGAGATGAGAGCATTCTATCACAACATCATTGCAATTAATACTATCAAAAAAAATGATGATAATGATTAACAGTGATACTAATCATAGTACTGTTGGTTAAGCACTTAGTTTTTATATCTTAATCCTCATGTCTATTCTGTGACCTTAAGATTCACTATTATGCTCATTTTAAAGATAAGTACACTGCGGTTTACAGAGATGAACTGACTTGCCAAGGATCACACAAAAGACTAAAGGAAAAATCTCAAACTCATATCTGACTCCTTGCCCCATGCTCTTAACCATTACATAATGTAATGTCATCTTACAGTCCTAGTGACAAAACAAAAGCATTTGGGTGTAACATTCCAGTTGTTATACAGGAAAATCAGAATGCATTTATAGAAACCCAACTCAAATTTGGCTTTGAATTTAATATTTAGCAGTGCCCCCCACCATGTCTTTAAAGGACAAATTTTAAGTTAAAAACAAAAACAAAAATACACACAACAGAGGAAAACAAACTGCTATTTAGCAGAAGACAGGGTAATAAGGTTATAAAATAAAATAGGGGAGGGTATTAAAAATCTGCATCCAAGGTAAAGACATTATCTGTGGTTTCTGCCATAACTGCAAAACGCTGATACTCTGAAACTCGTTTCTCAAAGAAATTTGTTTTCCCTTCTAATGAAATGTTTTCCATAAAATCAAAGGGATTTTCTGCATGAAATATCTGAAAAGAAAAGAAACGTTATTAGATATTTTGAAGAGACCAAATTATATCTCACAAGAAGAGCAAAAATGACAAAAGCAGAGCTCACTACTAACACCTGTCAAATCACGTACAGGATCACATTAGTCCTCTAACTTCCTGGAGGCAGTCAAGGCTGACCAAGTCAACACTTGAGACTTGCCAGAGAAAGAGAGAGAGAGAGAGAACATGAGAAAGGACCTCGTCCCAAGGGGAATGACCAGGCCATAGTCCCTTCTCCTCCATTCTCCTCTCCAGATTTTGGGAATGCAAGTACATGCATCTGGCATGTTTTTTTTAAGCCACACTGAGTCAGGGGCTCAGGCCACATAGCTGGCCACGTTAACTTCCATGCCACAGCCTGAGTGACAAATTTTAAAATGACTGAGATCTTCTATTAACTTCCTCAAGAAACTATAACAGCATCCTGGTAGTATTTAAAAAGAGAAAGGAATAAAAGAGATTACTTAAGGAAATTAAAGATATGGTTTTAATGGCCAGAGGGCATGTGAGCTCATCAGAGAGAGAAAGAGAAAAAGCACCCCTTGATTTGGCACGATCCCTTTTCCTCCATTTCTTCAGCCCACTGTGATTTTGGGCACATACACATGCAACCAGTATGTTTTCAAGCCATCAAAGCTGGTACTCAAACCATGGTTGGCCATGTGGGATCCAGCTTTCTATGCATAGCACTTAATTTCTATGCTATGAGGCCTTCCTGGAAAGGAAAGATTTAATATCAACCAAATGAAAATATTTTTACAGTTTGAGAGATCCAAAACATAATACATACTATAGACATTTTTCTCAGATATTACCATGTATATGACACATGATTTAAAAAAAAAATTAAATCACCAACAATGTACAATGGTTGTAAGTTTCTTAGTTTAGAAAAATAAAATCAACAAATTAACATTAAGGCACCATGATAGGGGGAGACAATAAATGCTATTGATAGGGACTAAATGTCTGCAAACAAAAAGTACAACATAGGTTGATGAGAAGCATTTTTACTGCTTTTGAATTCAAGAAGCAAAGTTAGAGACACAGCTTGATAGAACTATGGGGCATCATAATGATTCATAAGGGGCAAAGAAAGAAGATCCCTCTTTTTTTTAAGATTGATTAATTTAATTTAATTTAATTATTTATTTATTTTTGGAGAGGTTTTTGCTATAGGGCGCATACACTCGCCAGAAAGACAGAGAGACAGAAAGCAAGAAATTATCCCCCAGGGAGGATGGCCACTCCACAATCCCTCCTCTTCCATTCTCCTCTCAGGATCTTGGGCATGCACACACATGCACTTGGCGTAAGTTTAAGCCACCAGGTCTGGGACTTGAACCACAGTCAACTACATGGGAGTCCAGCGACATAGCCATTATGCCAACTGCTGGCCCCATATTTCATTTTATCTTTTGTTATTATTTCTTTCTTTTTTTTTTTTTTTTTTTTTTGTTTTTTTTTTTTTTTTTTTTTTTTTTTTTTTTTTTTTTTGAGAGGTTTTTGCTACAGGGCATGTGCGCTTGCCAGACAAGAGAGACAGAGAGACAGAAAGCGAGAAATAATCCCCCGGCGGGGGGTGGCCACGCCGCAACCCCTTCTCCTCCATTCTCCTCTCAGGATCTTGGGCACGCACACGCCCGGCGTGAGTTTTAAGCCACCCGGTCCGGGACGCGAACCGTGGTCAACTACGTGGGAGTCCAGCGACATAGCCATTATGCTAACTGCTGGTCCCATATTGTTATTATTTCTTTAATTTGACTAGAGAGAGAGAAAGGGAGGGGAAGTGAAAAAGCAGCCACCAGGACCGGGACTTGAACTGTAGTCAGTCACGTGGGAGTCCTGCACCTTAACCACCACATCATCAGCCAGCAACCAGGAAAGAGGATTTCTTCATTTAGGAGTATCCCAACAGGAATTATGGACACCACACATAAGAATATATTCAAATGGATTAGCCATGGGAAGGTCCCAGGTTCGTATCTCCAGGTCTACCTCTATATGCCAGACATGTGAGCATGTGTCTATGTTCCTGGCAGACTGAGGCTTGGGGTGGATCATGGTGTGAAGATCCTGTTGTATGTACCTATCTCTGTCTCTCATGGAAAAAAGAAATACACAAATTTGAAAATATGCATATGCATATATATATATATATATATAT